AAAGATGGGTCGAATCTGATCAGCTGATTTCCGGTTATTGCTAAACTGATGGATCCAGGGATAAAGTTTGTATTTATTAATTTCAGAACATCTGTAAAATATGAGTATAAAATGCAGTGTTAACTGAACATTTCACTAAGAATATCTACACCCTAAAATATAATCTGATTGAATGTCTGCATGTATAGTTCAGTAGAACCTAACAGTGCCAACACCACTCCCCAGTTACCCAAAAATGTACACACACGCAGATGACCAAGCAACCGTGCGTTGACAGATGTGTGCTGTTCATTTAAATTTATAAAATGTATCTTTGAACTTCAACCCCAAAGGAAAATGTTTCAACTAATTGTTTTTAAAAATTGTACTGGCTTCAACTAAAACAGTTTGCTATACACTTTTATCTTGTACAATCCTTTTCTTTTTCCCTTCTCACTAACCCACTAAAACTCATATTGCCATCAAAGACAATAAAACACTTTTTTAAACAAGGCTGCTGTTTTTCTCTAAGACACATCTTCTGACTTTAAAAATGGCAAATCTTTTCTAGTACCTAGCGATAGAGGCCACAAAAGTTCTAAGATTTTTCCAACTTGGGCATGTGAGCATACTTGGCCATGTGAAAGAACTCACTTAAAACCAGTTCTGATTCACTGCTGCACTACACTCTTCACATAAGAAACAAAAGGGTGAAGAAGTTTAGGGAAATACCACCTCCTGGAGCACCCTTAAGAGTCCTGAATATTATGTACAGGAGTGACTTCTGTTCTGTGGAATGCCAATCACTTCCTCAAAAGTCTTTATTCATCTCATTTCGACAATCTATTAACTAGGCAATTGGTTAAAGTGGCAGTTTGCATCAACATACTGAATTTAACAAATATTTATGATCTAAACCATAATCATACACTATGCACTTAAAATTCAGAATTGTTCAAAAAATATGTAAGTCATCTGATTCTGAGAAACTACTATTTCTAGCAAAAAAAAAAAAAAAAAAGAAATACCTGTTCAGTACAAAGTTGGAAGAAAAGAGCATAAAAAAACTCCATTCATTTCCTTGACAAGCATAACCTAGCAGAGCTATTTCCCAGGCCAGTCT